CCCAGACACCCTGTTAACTCAGAACTGAGGCCTCTCCTGAAGTCCACCTTTTAGTCAAAGATTAGATAGGCCTATAAAACCAATAATAACACACATGAGGAACATGCTTAGTTCAATCAAGTATATGAGACCAAATGGGTAACACTTGTCCAAAAGCAAAGAGAAGGCAGGAAGGGACAGGAAAACTGGATGAATAGACACAGGGCACCCGGGTTGTAAAGGGAAAGGCAGAGAATTATGACAATGTTGCGGGAACTGCAGTCAATGTCACAAAACAATTTATGTATAAATTTTTGAATGAGAAACTAATTTGTGCTGTAAACTTTCACCTAAAGCATAATTTAAAAAAAAAAAAAAAAAAAGCAATGTGACCAGGAGTAAACATCCTTTCTGTGAAGCAGCAGCCAATTCCTCTGGTTTCCAGGGCCATGGTTTCTCCAGAAGAGTAACATTAATGGGCCAAAAGACCAAGGCACCTCTACACAATGGGCAAAATACTTACAGCCTTTTTTCTCTTGTGCTAATGGTGAGATACTCTCGCCCAGCCCTCTGCCGCAACCCCACCTCTGTTGGCCTTGGCGTCCCACCCAGGGCCTGGATCCTCACTTAGCTTGCCCTGTGAAGTGAGCACATGGTTCCCGCCTCAAACTAATCTCATTATAGGAGGGCTGTTCTTGTCAGGCCATATCTAGGCTGATGACATTAACAAGTCCCCTGCCGTGTTATTTTAAAAATAGCAAGTGACTTGAAGGTTGGAGGGTTATTTAAAATACCTTAGAAGTTGAGAGGGACCACCTCTCATACTAGTGTCCCCCTTTACATTCTTTCCCCTCCTTCCTTCTGGAAGGAAAACTATATTAATAGAAGTTCCCTTGAAGTGGGAGAACTAAGGGAGTTTAAAAGGGAGCTGAAAGCCCTTATAGGCACAGTAGGTACAGCTGTTCAGGGGCCCTCATTCTAGGTTTTCAAAAACCTATAATAAATTTAGCCCTCTAAGCACACCCATATGGGGTTGGTTTGGGAACATTTTTACACATCAATTCACCCTCTCCCTTTTGTTGCTTTGTGGAATGCAGCACAGCCACACGAGAAAACAGCAGAGGCCTTTCGCAGCATCCTGGAAGCCTGTCTGGAACCCAGAAGCATCACAATGACGCATGCTAGATTATGACAAACATTCTCTTCTTTAGAAATTCTGTGAGGTTATTTCAAATTGTTATTTGTTGAGTGTATAGCTGTGTGGTCTAAGGTATTATTTTTTAAGTTGTAAGTAAATTGGCTATTATGTGGGTTTTCAAAGCAAATACATTTGGTGCCTCTTTCAAATATCAAATGCTAACAAAATCATGTATTCTAATTAGGAATTACCTACACTGTAAGAGTTTCCCATGATAGAATGTTGCAAGATCAACCACTTATTCATTGGAGATGCCTTTTTTCAACAACAAAAATGGCAACTATAAACATGGACCTCGCCAGATGGAATACACAGGAATGAAATTGACTACATCTGTGGAGAGAGACGATGGAGAAGCTCAGTATCATTAGTCAGAACAATGACAGGGCTGACTGCAGGAACAGGCCATCAATTGTTCATATGCAAATTATAGGTGAAGCGGCAGAAAATTAAAACGAGTCCACAAGAGGCAAAGTACAACCGTGAATATATCCCACCTGAATTTAGAGACCGCCTCAAGAACAGATTTGATGCACTGAACACTAACGACTGAAGACCAGATGAGCTGTGGGATGACATCATACATGAAGGAAGCAAAAGTTCATTAAAAAGACAGAAAAGGAAAAAAAGACCAAATGGATGTCAGAAGAGATTCTGAAACTTGCTCTTGAACGCAGAATAGCTAAAGCGAGCAGAAGAAATGATGAAGGAAAAGAGCTGAACAGAAGATTTCAAAGCACAGCTCAGAAGACAAAGTAAAGTATTATAATGAAATCTGCAAAGACCTGGAGTTAGAAAATCAAAAAGGAAGAACAGGCTTGGCATTTCTCAAGCTGAAAGAACTGAAGAAAAAATTCCAGTCTGCAGTTGCAATATGGAAGGATTCTATGGGCAAAAAACTGAATGACACAGGAAGCATCAAAAGAAGATGGAAGGAATAGAGTCACTGTACCGAAAGAATTGGTGGACGTTCAACCATTTCAGGAGGTAGCAGATGATCAAGAACTGATGGTACTGAAGGAAGAAGTCCAAGCTGCACTGAAGGTATTGGTGAAAACAAGGCTCCAGGAATTGAAGGAAAACTAACTGAGGTGTTTCAACAACTGGATGTACTGCTGCAGGTACTCACTTGTCTATGCCAAGAAACTTGGAAGACAGCTACCTGGCGAACGGACTGGAAGAGACCCATATTTGTGCTCATTCCAAAGAAAGGTGATCCAACAGAATGCGGAAATTTATCTAACAGTATCATTAATATCACATGCAAGTAAAATTATGCTAAAAATAATTTTAAAATGATTGCAGCAGTACATCGACAGGGAACTGCCAGAATTTCAAGCGGGATTCAGAAGAGGACATGGAACAAGCAATATCATTGCTGATGTCAGATGGATCTTGGCTGAAAGCAGAGAACACCAGAAAGATGTTTACCTGTGTTTTATTGACTGACTATGCAAAGGCATTCCACTGTGTGGATCATAACCAATTATGGATAACATTTTCAAGAATGGGAATTTCCAAACACTTAATTGTGCTCATGCGAAACCTGTACATAGATCAAGAGGCAGCTGTTTGAACAGAGCAAGGAGATACTGCATGGTTTAAAATCAGGAAAGGTATACATCAGGGTTGTATGCTTTCACCATACTTACTCAATCTGTATACTGAGCAAATAATCCCAGAAGCCGGACAATATGAAGAAGACATGTGAAGCGCTTACTGATAAAGATCAAAGACTACAGCCTTCAGTATGGATTGCAACTCCACATGAAGAAAACAAAAATCCTCATAACTGGACCAGTAAGCAACATCATGATAAATGGAGAAAATATTGAAGTTGTCAAGGATTTCATTTTAACTTGGATCTACCATCAACACCCATGGAAGCAGCAGTCAAGAAATTAAATGATGTACTCCATTGGGCAAATCTGCTGCAAAAGATCTCTTTAAAGTGTTAAAAAGCAAAGATGTCACTTTGAGAACTAAGGTGCGCCTGATCCAAGGTATTTTCAATCGCCTCATATGCGTGTCAAAGCTAGACAACGTGTAAGAAAGACCAAAGAATTGATGCCTTTGAATTATGGTGTTGGTGAAGACTGTATATATACCCTGGACTGCCAGAACGAACAAATATGTCTTGGAAGAAGTACAGCCAGAATGCTCCTTAGAAGCTAGTATGGCAAGACTTCACCTCACATACTTTGGACATGCTATTAGGAGGGACCAGTCCCTGGAGAAGGACATTATGCTTGGAAAAGTAGAGGGTCAGTGGAAAAGAGGAAGACTCTCAACGAGATGGATTTGATACAGTGGCTGCAACAATGGGATCCAAACATAGCAATGATTGTGAGGATGGCTCAGGACTGGGCAGTGTTTTGTTCTGTTGTACATAGGTTCGCTATGAGTCGGAACTGACTCGATGGCACCTAACAACAAAGAGTCTCTGTTTAGTAAAAATGGCAGAAATACAACATGTCTGTAAATTTCCACCATTATGCTCTCAGAAGAGACAAATCCTTTTATTTGAGTTCTTTTTAGGTCTATTGTGGATATGACAAATACCACTCTGTACCTATGAAATCTTTGTTTTAAAAGGAGTATTTTTCATCCTTGTGAATGGTATCACAATACAGAAGTAAAACTAAACAAGCTTGGATTTTACAGTGATGATGTTTCAGCTATGACAGGTCAGCATCTGTGATATTAATTTCAAAGTCATTCTCTTAAGAAAAACTGAAAATGTTCTGGGGTAAAAGGCACAATTTTCTTCCATATATATATATAGTTTTTTCTTTTCTAAGCCTAGGTGACTGGACGATGTCTGTCGGATAGGGTGTGGCCCCTGAGCCTATCTTCAAGGGAGCTTATCTTCAAGAGTTAAACTCTGATTTTCTGTGGGCTATTTTTTCTGAAAAATCTTCCAAGCTGGTAAAAAATTGTTCCATTACTAGGAGAATATATTTCACCATATCATAAATATATGAAATTGGAACATGGCATCCTAGTAGTAATTAATTTGTGAATCAGGATCATGTTAAAACTGTGGACACATTTATGGGAATTTTTCACTACTTCTCTAATTTCTAAAGGTTCATTTAAACGGTCAGGACATTGATCAAAACATTTTAGTGAATAAGATAAATATATCTTTTTTTTTTTTTTTAGTTTATGAATTGTGCATCCCCCTCCGTTTGTTATGTTAATGAGACCATATTAGTGTAGGGGTGGGGCCTAAACCTAATCACTTCTGAGTTGTAAGGAGCAGCTTAGGCAGAGACAAGAGAGTACAATGGGGGAAGACAGCTTCCACGTGAAGGTCACCAATGAACAGAGGCCATCGGGATTACAGAAGTTGAAAGAGAAAAGGAACTTCGAAGCCTTCCCCTATAGCTGGTGCCCTGAATTTGGACTTCTAGTCCCCTAAAGTGTGAGAAAATTAATTTCTGTTCTTTAAAGTCACCCACTTGTGGTACTTGTGACAACAGCACGAGGAAACTAAGATATACAGATAACCTTCAAGACCTAAACAAAGGTGGGAGGAGCATTTGCTACACAGAAAGAAATGTGTACTTTATTCTCTGGAAAAGAACACATTTAGGTACTGGGCTAGTTCCTACTGAGTATCATAACTTTAAAGGTCTATTAAAGTCATTACATATAAATAATTTATACCCAGTCTTGACAAAATAACACAAGAAACCTTTTTAAGAAATTAAAAATTGGCAAGCTACCTAAGTTGAATGCTTTTTTTTTTTTTAGTTGAATGCCTTTTTAAAAAGGCATCCAGTAAAGTAATTTCAGCTGGGCCTTCCATTTTGCCTGATAATTTGCATTTCTAACAAGTTCCCAGGAAGTTATATATAAGAATCACCTGGGGATCTTGGTAAACTGTAGATTCGGATTCAGTGTATCTGGGGTGGACTTGAACAAACCGGTTTGAAGCCTTGCCCAGAAGCAAGCCTGGCCTCACCAAATGCAACCTATTTAACATATGGGGTCTGTTCGGAGTTCAGGGCGGCTGCCCTTGGGCAGTCTTGTGATCTGAAGTCCTGGTGCCATCTGAGGGTCCTTGTTTGATCTTTGCCTTCTTGCAGGGTTGCTATGAATCAGAATCAACTCGATGGCAGTGGATTTGGTTTTGGGTTTCCTGTAGGTAAAAGCAGCCAGTGCTCTTCCAATGAATGGAGAATGTCTGAGTTTCCAGTTCAACAAAACAGAAGTTAGACATCTTGGGAGATGCTCTGATCTGACACTTGTGCTGTTTGGCAACATTGCGTTAGCACTGAGAATTTGGGCCAGTAAATGTTTAATAGTGATAGCAGCCTTAATGATCACAGTAGTTGTGTTCTAGCAGTTAATGTTGTTTGCTACTGAGTCAATTTCGACTCATAGCGACCCCATGGGACAGATTAGAATTGCCCCATAGAGTCTCCTAGGCTATGTTTATGGGAGCAGATCACCAGGTCTTTCTTCCATGGAGCTGCTGGTGGGTTCACACTGTCGACTTCTAACGGCCGAGCACATCACTATTGCCCCACCAGGGCTCCTGAGCAGTTAAAGGGGGGAAGGGGTACAAGAAAGGTCAGAAACTAAGTTGTGTGTGTTTAGAGAACCACCATTTCATAACTTGAAATTAGTGGAATCCTATTAACTTTCTTTTCTTTTTTGGGGGGGGTCTCTAGACTCATGAGACCACTCAAAATACCAGTAGGAACACATTTTTAGAGATGATCTCAGACTTAATAAAATGGAACGTGTTATTCTACCACATTTGACCCATTAGTGATGTGTATTTAACCAGCGCTCACCTGTGTACCTTTTAAGATGCATTATGTGTATTCTTGCTGATTGGTGCACAACGTCTAAGGGAAAGATTCGTGTTTAAAGCCCAGAGATGGTGAATTAGATAGAAACACACGTGTGCTCTGAGCTTGAGATTTCACAACTCAGGTGATGGCTCTCTGAGCTTGAGATTTCACAACTCAGGTGCTGTTACACAAGTATTCTGGGGAGAAATGAATTCAGATGGAGAAGAGTTGTAGAATCCTTCTGTCTTCTGTTATTCTCCCACATCTCTGCCGTTAAAAAAAAAAAAAAAAGTGCCTAAAGGCAAGTGAATGGAAAAGATTTGCCCAAGGACAGTCTAGAAGCAAAACTGACCTCTAGGTGGTGCTTGAAAGCAGTTTAGGGAAGGCTGGCACCCTCCAGGGTGAAAAGGGTATTGGCTGAACCTCAGCAACCTGCAGGCTCCAAGGCAAAGCATTCAATAGACTGTTACCTGGTCTACAGTCTCTATAGGTGGCTCCCTCGGCTGGTTTTAATACATTTTTTCCCCCATCTATTCCTGTGCTTGTAAGTTTTGGATTCCATTTATATCTTATGTCTATAAACTGCCCCTGTTTAAAGTCTACAAAGAAGAGGGGAAAAATACTCAAAGAGCTTTTGCCAATCACAGGTTATTCGCCACAGAGCTTTACTTAAAACACCTGTCCCCTTCTCCCACAGTTTCCTCTTTGCCCACTCCAATCTAGCCCGGATGGAGCGGGCTGGATCTGCAGGACTACCGTTCTATTTGCCTGCAAATGCAATGTTTCCCCAGGGAATGGTTTATTTTCTGTGAAGTTTTTTAAAAGTACTACAGCTGCTACATTTGATGTCAAACATTACTCTGTAATTCCTGTTAAAACATATGCCATGAATTAAAAAAAAAAAGCACCCCCTCCCCGTTAAGTCATAACAAAATGCAGATTTGTAAATCCACACAAATAACTGATTCATAGATACACGCTCACGAAAAAAGAAATTAAAAAAAAAAAAAACTTTAGCATAAAAATTTAAGAATCTATAGATCCAGGCAGATTTTAACATATACTTTTTTTATTATTAAATATGTAAAAAGATAAACGCAAGTCAAGTTATTCACATATTCAGAGACCAAAAAAACTATCCTACCATGCGACAATAGTGGGTAATGTAAAATGAATGTAATACATCTGAATGAGACTTTTTCATCTATTGTGTCGTTACTTATCTATATTTATAATTAACAATACATATGTTTACATTCCTTTCAGTTTACATTTAATATATAACAAAAGCTTTATGGTGTACTATTTATTAAAAGTAATTTGAATGCATATTAAACCTTAACGGAATAATGGGAATACTCACCAGGGAAGGGAAGAGTTCTCGGTCCCCTTCTGGAGTTTACTTCTCTCGGGTCAACAGGGCTGTTTGTATTTTCTTTTTCTGCTTAGAAAGAACACGGGCTCTCTCTCTGCCCCCTGCTTCAATCACGTCCTATCTGACTTTAGTAGTCGATGTGCTAGAACCAGTTGACAGATGGGTATGGATGGCAGACTGAGAATGAAGTCTGGCTTGCTGACAGGGAGGACAGCATACCAAAGGATACTTCCTGGCCCAGCACGGTGAGTGCTCGGCCAGGTGGCCACAGAGGAAAGCGTGTCCTGAATGCCAGGAGGTGAGAATGATGGGTACCGTCATAGAGAAGAAAGGAGCAGCCAGGGAAGTGAGTACAGAGGCTGGGGCTATAGAAGAGAAGGAGTAACTCAGCAATTTAGCTGTTAAAGAGTCCCCAAAGCATTGATGACTTCACCTGGGATGCAACACAACAGAGTATGTTTGAAATGGGCATGGAAAGGATTTATAGCTCTTCTTTAAATAAATGGATAGTCTGCCCCAAAACTTCAGGAAGGAGAATAAGATATGATGACTGGGCAAAGTTTTCTTTGCAGTATATCTGGCCAGTATGTTTTTCAGCTGAGAAGGGTGAGGGAGCTGGGAAGAATGGAGTGGTTCCAGTGAATGTCATGGGTGAGGCTTATGCAAATAATACAGTATCAAGTGGTTTCTGGAGAAGACAGGATCCTGACTCCCTGCTGGGCCATTCATGGCATCCACATTAGAGAGAAGTTTTGGTGGTGATCCACCTGGCACTGGGTATTACTGAGATGCTGAGGGCAGGCGAAGAACTGCCTAGGAAACGTTGTCTGCATGGAATCATTTATTTGCCTCTTTGCAAGACATAGTGAACAGTCAGTGAGTGCAACAGGCTCAGGAGGGCAACATACCGGTACGCACGGCGCTGCGTATAGCACAGCCACTACCTGGAACCAGGTGTGGGAGGATGTCACTGCCAAGAGCCAGGCTTTCCAGCCTTAGAGAAATGAGCTACCACTGCTGTGCAGAGCAAGCAGGAGAGAGAAGGGAAGCAAATACCACACAACATCAGTCCAATTCTGCACAGTGTGTTGTTATGACCTCAAAAACACAAGTAACCTTTTCCCCATATAACTCAATAGATACCACTTTGCTGCAAAAGATTTATTTTGAGAAGATTTCTTCTGGCGGAAAGCTTCGATGCTAGAGTTTAGAATCAGAATTCGATCAGTTAAAAAAGAACTTTCAAAGCTTTATGAGACATAATTCAGACATTTATTTTTGCTTTTCATTGAAGTGGAAAGTGGGGTGGGCACACTTGTTTTTTTGTTGTAGCTGCAAGTCAAATAATAAGTGAAAGTAAATCTAGAGACCAAGTGAAATGAATGGTCCAGGAAGGGATACCATCTGTCAGGGGGGCGGGGGGAGGCAAAGATTTGGAAAAGAGAAAATGATGTGCAAATATTAGTTAAAAAAATAAGGAATGCTTTTAATTCATTATGCTTCTTATATTTATGAGTCGCCACTGTTTAGCAAAGGCTGGTGAAAAGAAGGGCCCTAATGTTCAAGAGGGGAAATTCCTTAGTCCTGAAGGTACTGGGAGTCACGGATTTTTATGTGCTGTTATTCCAGTGTCAACACCAGATGCAGAACCATGCCTCTCCCTTGGCATTAGGCTTCTACTCATAAGGTCTTCACTGCCAGCCTTCCAGAAAGTGTGCCTCATGACACAGGAACCTGAAAGCCAGCGCTGTACATGCTAAGTCGCTCTTCAGCAGGAGTCCCCTAGTGTGAAAGCTAGGATCTGCGTGGAAAACCACCCAAGGAGGGATAGGAGGGACAGAGGCAGGGGGACCTGCGCCTACCCGACCCCCTTTTGGACTGCAGATCATGATGACAGCATCTTGGGGAGAGTGGCCGCCCACCAAAGAGGACCCTGAGAAAGAAAGGAGCATGAGAACCTGGGGGTGGGGAGAGAGCAGGGGTAGTGGGGCAGAGAGCGAAGTTGAGATGGTGTTTTCCTTGAGTGAATGTCTTTCAAAACAAACAACATACTGTGTGGTGGTCTAGCATGCCAATGAATGAACACTGCTGGGCCCTGAAGTCCTTGTTTTGAATCTTTTTTTTTTTTCCTCAGTGCTGTGAGTAGAGAGAGAAACTGACCTGGGGGAAACTGACCTGGGGTTTCCCCCCATGAAACAAGTCACTGTTGTTATGGCTTTCATATCAAGTATCTGTTTCCCTTTGTTCCAATTTCTTATTTGACCCAATTTATGTTCAGAGGTTAGACTTGCAAACATCAAAGCACCACAAATGCATGTGACATCTAGTGACATTGGGTTGAGAAATGCCAATATAAATACCATATATCAAATTACCATTGTTTCACACCAGGATAAAAAGGGAGTGGTGGTGGTGGAGGGGCAAGGGAGGGTTGTTCTGGACAGAAATGAAGAAAAGAGCAGAACCAATCTGAAGCAGCCAAGTGGTGAAGTTGAAGGTATGTGACCCTACAATCTCTCAGGTAGACGGCCTGAACTGCCGTCTGCTAACGCATCTTGGCAAAGTAAATGGGAACCAAGCGCAGTGGCTGGCGGATGCAACAGTGTGTTGATGTTAACGGCAGATTGGAAACAACTGGTTTCTGTTGAGCTTGAGGCCACACATGTTCCAATTCTCCAAAGAAAAGTTCTGACACAAAATGGAAGTGTCAAGAGCTGCTGAGACGGTTCAGTACTCTTCCTGCTGCTGGGGCTGCTGTTCGTGGACATGCTCCTCTGCTTCCGGTTCTTCTGTGTGGCCCTCCTGTGGGGCAAGGGAAAAGTTTCAGCTAAAATAATGGATTATGAGGCCATGCAGTGTTCACAGCCCCACTGTCATAGCCCAGTGTGGTGTCTCCTGGCTGTGGAGAGCACCAGGCTTAGGCCCAACTTGCCATGCAAGTTTCTCCCAGCTCCCAGCCACCAATACACACGTAGGGATGCCTTAGCTACCCTGCTCCCTCAAGGAGTGAATCACTCTAGACAGCACAGTCATCGGACTTAAGAGAACACATCATCAAGCGTTTATTCTAACCATTTTGGAGGGAAACCTCCATGGAACATATTACATACTTTCCTTCCCTCATTCATTTCCTTTCCCTCATTCAAAAAGCATAAACCAGACACAATGACTCAAGATCATCTTGACAGACGTGAATTAACTGCTGCGACATACACCAGTACAGCCGCAGGCCTCTGCTGTGTGTCCAACGATTACCACCACACTGACGGCCCATGATGCTGGGCTTCTGATCGGTTTCCTGTCTCCCACCCTGCTGTCACTCTTCCTCCCTCGCAGACTGTCTGCCTGTACTTGTTGGGTGCCGTCGACTCCATTCCAACTCATCCAACCCACTGCCGTCAAGTCGATTCCTACTCACAGCAACCCTATAGGACAGAGTAGAACTGCTCCATGGGGTTTCCAAGGCTGTAAATCTTTGGGAAAGTATATTGCCACACATCTTTCTCCCACAGAGTGGGCTGGTGGGTTCGAATCGCCAACCTTTCTGTTAGCAGCCTAGCACTTTAACCACTGCACCTCCAGGGCTCCTCTTCTGACTCATAGCAACCCTATACATGACAGAGACAACCGTCCCATACAGTTTCCTAGGCTGTAATCTTTATGGGAGCAGATTTCTAGGTCTTTTCTTCTGCGGAGCTGATCGTGGGTTTAAACTGCCAACTTCCGGTTAGCAGCCGAACACATAACCACTGTGCCACCAGGGCTCCATCTGCCTTTACTAGTCTTTCTCTTGTAATTCATTACTCATCTGATATAGGCTTAGACACCAGATAAGCAAGCTCGTTAGAGTGGGTAAGAAAAGGATAATAACCAAGTTTTATTGGTTTCACTGGGCAAGGAGCCCGCTCCCAACAGAGCTTTAGCTCAAGGACTCTGGGACATCTATTTCGGGTGTTTGAGGCATATTTTGCTTACTGTCAGGTTATGGACTGTGAACGAGATGGGTGAGATACTCTTTTACTTGGCACCAGCTGTCACGTGTATTCATTTGCCTAACCAAGTGAAGCACACTGTGAAAACCAATTCCAGGGATCAACAACCTTCTCCAGCTATATCTGCAAATTCTTTTTTTTTCTTGTTGATTTAAAAAAAATTTTTTTTTATTGTGCTTTGTGTGAAGGTTTACAGCTCAAGTTAATTTCTCATTCAAAAATGTATATATATACTGTTTTGTGACATTGGTTGCAATCCCCACAATGTGCCAGCACACTCCTCCTTTCCACCCTGGGTTCCCTGTGTCCATTCGACCTGTTCCTGTTCCGTCCTGCCTTCTCATCCTGCTTTTGGACAGGAGCTGCCCATCGGTCTTGTATATCTGAATGAACTAAGAAGCATGTTCCCTTAATTTTTTAACCTCACAAAGAATAATTTACTCTTTATTACTCAAGCAGAGGGAGCAAGGCTAATCAAATAATAACTAAGTGCCGCACCACCCACCCTCCCAATAACGGTAAATGCTTTTGTGGTGCAGCCAGGAGCATACACCTGGACACTCAGAAGTACTCATATGCTGCACACTTTGCACACTGACTCCTTCTCCCTGAGCCATCCCCTTCCTGTCTTGCTCCCACTCCCTTTAGTCTAGGACAAACCCGTCTAGATCCAATGCCGACACTGTACAATCGTCTCCTCAGACCCCTGAGCCAGAATGATTTCTCTCCCTTCTCCGGCAGCACCTTGTTTCTTCCTTTGTTATAAAATTCTGACCTATAATCTTCGTATCCTATTTCACTGACTGTAGACTTCAATACACAATGTGTGGAGAGGCAGAATCACAGATGCTGCAAGAACGGATGATCCAGACTATCAAGTGTTATAAGGAGCCCTGGTGGCACAATGGTTAAGCGCTCAGCTGCTAACCAAAAGGCTGGCGGTTCAAACTCACCATTGGCTCCACAGGAGAAAAGACCTGGTGATCTGCTCCTGTAAAGATTATAATCCAGGAAACCCTATGAGGCAGTTCGACTCTCTCCTACAGGGTTGCTATGAGTCAGAATCAACTCGATGGCACACAGCAAGATCAGTTACCAGTTACTGTTGGGTCCATTCCAACTCACTGCAACCTATGTGTATCAGAGTAGATCTGCGCTCCATAAGGTTTTCAATGACTGATTTTTCATAAGTGGATTGCCAAGCCTTTCTTCTGAGGCGCCTCTGGGTAGACTTGAACTTCCAATCTTTCACTTAGCAGCCAAGGTGTTAACCCATTTGTACTACTTAGGGACGCCATACCCAAGATCACACACTACTTATTTCCTGAGAGGCTGTATAATGTCAAAGTTATAAGTATGGACTCTGAAGTTCACAGCTTGGCTCTGCTATTTACAAGCTGTGTGACCATGGGAACATAACTTAATTGCCTTTTGCCTCAGTTTTCTCATCTGTAAAATGGGGATAATAAGAGTACCCATGCAACAGGGTTGTGAGGATTCCACGTGTTAATACATGTAATGTGCCTAGAATAGCGCCTGGCACATACTAAATACGGTAAGTTTAAACTATGATTAGTATTTCTTAGTGGGTGAACACTTTCGAATATATTTTAGAAGCTAGTTAATTAAAAGAAATTAATTAAAAATTTCACCTCCTACGTCACATCCACCAGTAAAAACTGTGGACATTGTATTAAAGACTTTTGCAGTCTGTCTGAAATCGATCAAACACGCAATCAAGATGCAGTGATAAATACTGGTGACTGGGATGCGAAAGTTGGAAACAAAGAAGGGTCAGTAGTTGGAAAATATGGCCTTGGTGACAGAAATGACGCCAGAGATTTCACAATAGAATTTTGCAAGACCAATGACCTATTCATTGGAAATACCTTTCTTTGACAACATAAACAGCGACTATACACGTGGACCTCACCAGATGGAATACCCAGGAATGAAATCGACTACGTCTGTGCAAAGAGACAATGGTGAAGCTCAAGTCAGAACAAGGCCAAGGGACAACTGTGGGACAGACCATCAATTGCTCATATGCAAATTCCAAGCTGAAGTTGAAGAAAATTTAAAAGTACAGCCTTAAATATATCCCACCTGAATTTAGAGACCATCTCAAGAATAGATTTGACGTACTGAATGCTAATGACCGAGACCACATGAGCTATGGGATGACATCAAGGACATCATACATGAAAAAAGAAAAAGGTTATTACAAAGACAGGGAAGAAAGAAAATACCAAAATGAATGTCAGAAGAGACTCTGAAACTTGCTCTTGAATGCAGAGTAGCTAAAGGGAATGGAAGAAATGATGAAATAAAAGGGCTGAACAGATTTCAAAAGGCAGCTTGAAAAGACAAAGTATTATAATGAACTGTGCAAAGAACTGGAGAAAGAAGACCAAAAGGGAAGAACATGCTTGGCATTTCTCAAGCTGAAAGAACTGAAGAAAACATTCAAGCCTCGAGCTGCAATACTGAAGGATTCTACGGGCAAAATATTGAATGATGCAGGACGCATCAAAAGAAGATGGAAGGAATACACAGTCACTGTACTAAAAAGAATTGGTCAATGTTCAACCATTTCAGGAGGTAGCATATGATCAAGAACTGATGTTATTAAATGAAGAAGTCCAAGCTACACTGAAGGTATTGGTGAAAACAGGGCTCCAGGAACTGATAGGAAACCAATTAAGATGTTTCAACAAACAGATGTAATGCTGGAAGCACTCACTTGTCTATGCCAAGAAATCTGGAAGACCGCTACCTGGCCAACCAACTGGAAGAGATCCACATTTATGCCCATTCCAAAGAAAGGTAATCCGATGGAATGTGGAAATAATCAGACAATATCATTAATATCACATGCAAGTAAAATTATGCTGAAGATAATTAAAAAATGATTGCAGCAGTACATCGACAGGGAACTGCCAGAAATTCAAGCTGGATTCAGAAGATGACATGCAATGAAGGGTATCATTGCTGATGTCAGACGAATCTTGGCTGAATGCAGAGAATACCAGAAAGATGTTTACCTGTGTTTTATTGACTATGCAAAGACATTTGACTGAGTGGAGCATAATAAATTATGGATAACATTGTGAAGAATGGAAATTCCAGAACACTTAATTGTGCTCATGCGAAACCTGTACATAGGCCAAGAGGCAGTAGTTTAAACAGAACAAGGGGATACTACATGGTCTGAAATCAGGAAAGGTGTATGCCAGTGTTGTATTCTCTAGCCACAGTTATTCAATCTGCATGCTGAGCAAATAATCCGAGAAGATGGACTATATGAAGAAGAATGTGGCATCAGGATTGGAGGAAGACTCATTAATAACCTGTGGTATGCAGATGACATATATCGCTTGTTGAAAGTGAAGAAGACTTGAAGCACTTACTGATGAAGATCAAAGAACTGCAGCCTTCAGTATGGATGGCATCCCAACATAAAGAAAACAAAATTCCTCACAACTGGACTGATAAGCAACATAATAAATGGAGAAAATATTGAGGTTGTTAAGGATTTTCATTTTACTTGGATCCACAATCAATGCCCATGGAAGCAGCAGTCAAGAAATCAAAGGACATACTGCATTGGACAAATCTGCTGCAAAAGACCGCTTTAAAGTGTTAAAAAGCAAAGATGTCACTTTGAGGACTAAGGCGCACCTGACCCAAGCCATGGTATTTGCAATCGCCTCATATGCATGGCAAGGCTGGACAATGAATAAGGAAGACCAAAGAAGAATTGATGCCTTTGAATTATAGTGTTCGCGAAGAAGACTGAATATACCATGG